ATCCAAGGCTCAGGTGCCTCCTGGTGGCCAACCAGCCTCTCTGCGTCCTGCTCGGAGTCGGCACCCTGTCCAGGGTCCTCCACATCCTCCAGAGCCGACTCAGAGGGCCCCTCGCTGTCGGAGTCTGGTGGCAGCTCCAACGGCTCCTGCTAGGCCACAACAGTCATCTACATGTGTTCTAGAATTATTCACTACATCCCCATCATTCCCACATTAGGAGGGGACACGTCATGACTTCTTGTGTTAAGGCAAACTAGCTCATCTCAGTTTTCTGTCTTCTCCGTCCCAGTTTTAGTTTCACAAACAGAAGCGTTGAAGGAGGAAAACAACAGCTTACGGTGCCAGCTGGATGCCTACCGAAATGAAGTCGAGCTCTTGAAGCAGGAGCAGGGCAGAGCAGGGCGCGAAGATGAACCCAGCAAGGACCAGCAGCTGAAAATCCTCCAGCAGACTTTGCAAGGAATGCAGCAGGTAAGGAAGGGGGGGGGAGCTCTCTTGTCATGCTCAATAACAATAGCACTTATGACTTATATACCGCTTCATAGTGCTTTTACAGCCCTCTCTAAGAGGTTTACAGAGTCAGCCTATTGCTCCCCAACAATCTGGGTCCTCATTTTTACCCTCCTCGGAAGGATGAGTCAACCTTGACCGGTGGAAATCAAACTGCTGGCAGTAGGCAGAGTTAGCCTGCAATATTGTCTTCTAACCACTGGGAGGGAGGGAGGAAGGAAGAAAGGAAAGAAGGGAGGGAGGAAGTTAGCAACTTATATATCACTTCACGGTGCTTTACAGCCCTCTCTAAGCGGTTTACAGACTCAGCCTATTTGCCCCCAACAATCTGGGTCCTCATTTTACCCACCTCGGAAGGACAGAAGGCTGAGTCAACCTTGAGCCTGGTGAGATTTGAACTGCTGAACTGTAGCTAGAAGTCAGCTGAAGTAGCCTGCAGTGTTGCACTCTAGCCACTGCGCCACCGCGACTCAAATGGTTCCTCTCCTTCCTGTCCTTGGAGCCCAAGCTTCTCTCCTTGGGAGACTTGTACAGGTAGTCCTTGACTTACAACGGTCCATTTAGTGACCATTCAATGTTACAACAACACTTAGAAAAAGTGGCATGAACGTTTTTCACATTGCAGCCATTGCCACAACCCTACGGTTATGGGATGAAAATTCAGGCCCTTGACAACTGACTCCTGTTTATTTACGGTTGCAGTGTCCCGGGGGGGGGGGGTGTCATGTGATCCCCTTTTACGACCTTTTGTCAAGCAGAGTCAGTGGGGGAAACCAGAATCACGAAACGTGTGTTACTAAGCTGATGAGCTAAAGAAGCTTCTTGGATGAGAAGCGAAACATCTTCAAAGAAAAACCCGAAAATCCAATTGCCTCTTGGGGGAAAAAAGCACCTTCGGGACATCCTGTGTTACTAACTTTATCCACTGCAGTGATTCACTGAACAACTGTAGCAAGAAAGGTCGTAAAATGGGGCAGAATTCATTTAACAACTGTCTTGCTTAGTCCACAAAAATGTTGGAGTTAATTGTGATCGTAAGTCCAGGATTAGCTGTAATTTATGGGGAAACCTTCTTTCCCAAATAAAAGGTACAGCTGGGCTCTGCCTTTTTTTTAGGACAGATTCAGATGGCAGACTGCAGTAGGCAGACACTTGAGTTCTCCCCAATTCTTCATCAAAAAAGAAGAGAATCTCTCTATATAAATGTGTGTGTGTGCGTGCGTGCATGCACCAGTGGTGGGTTTCAAAAATTGTTCGAACCTACTCTGTGGGTGTGGCCTCCTTTGTGGGAGTGGCTTGCCACC